CAGAGAGGCTAATTAATTTACCTAAGGCCACACAGCTACCAACAGTCAGAGTTGGGATTTGAACTCTGTGGGTCTGACTTTAGACCCTCTAAGTGTAGTCCATGGACCAGCACAGTCAGTATCACCTGGGGGCCTGTTAGGAATGTGGAGTCCAGGCCCCTTTCCAGACCTCTGCATCAGAATCGGCTTTTTAACAAGATCCCCCGTGATATGTGAGCTCCTTGAAGTCTGAGCTATATGAACTGAAAGGACTTTCCTTCCCATAGCTGTGTCTCACAGAGTTTAGCTCTTATTAAATAAGCAAACCATTTAACTAATTAACTGAGGAACAAATAGACGAACTCCAAGTTGAATTCCAAGGTCAAAGAGTAACTGTCAGCAAGCGATTTGGTTTTTAGAGCCGCATTAACAAGCTCTTGCAGTTAGCAGGAGAGGAGCGATTTCTTCACCTGGAGTTGGATAAAAGCTCACTCTGGGAGCACAAAGACCAGTGAGCAAATACACTTCCTCTCTCCATTTCGCCCCTGTCCCAGGGAGCCTGGATGCTGGCTGGACATGAAGGACTGGGACAGGAGAGAGGCCGGAGGGTGAGGAGCCTCTCCCGGGAGGTGGTGACCGGACCAGCCCTCAATTACCAGGCAGCAGGCTGAAGGCTTTACACATGCATTGGCAGTAGGTACAGTCACACCCCAGGGGACAAGAACTGAACTATAGCTTGTCATTTTTCCTATCTGAACCGGGCTTTTATTTTGAGCCCCCAGTTTGCTGAATGGCAGAAAACTAACCTCAGTCCATTTGAGCCCCTCCTTGCCCCCGGGGGTTATATCTTAAGTTCCAGGGACTTCTGGGGAATGGAGACATTGTGGGACCGAGAGAGGTGTGGGCGTCTAGTACCACATATGTTGTCATCCATCTATGCTGCTGGCTGCTGGGACATCCTGGTCCTCACCCAATGTCCCCACAGGGATAATTGTGATGGGGCCATGTTATGGAGGTAACCCATAGGTAGCAATTACAGAAATGTCTAGCACGTGTAATTGCTCAATAAAGCTCAGCTATTATTTTCGTTATTATAAAGTTCAGTAATTATTTTTTAATAATTTATTATTAATTTATTTCGAGAGAGAGAGAGGACAGAGAGAAGAGGCAGAGAGAGAGAGAGAGGGAGAGAGGGAATCCCAAGCAAGCTTTGTAGTGACAGCATGGAGCCCAATACAGGACTCAAACTCATGAACCCTGAGATCATGACCTGAGCTGAAATCAAGAGTCAGATGCTCAATTGACTGAGCCACCCATGTGTCCCTAAAGTTCCATTATTGTTATTATTTGCCATTATATTGCCTTTTAACCCAATAGAATATAGTATCATTTGAAGTTCCTTAAAACCTTAGAGTAACAAGATGTAAGAATTAGAAAAAAGGCACATTGGAAATAATCCAATCTAACTTCCTTATTCTATACATGGAAAAGCAGAGGTCCAGAGAGGGAAAGAACATTACTCAAAAGCACACAGCATGGTGACTGAGTAGATGGTGCCATTAAAAAGACAAGGACTGATTTGGGCCAAAGATGAAAAAGAACTGGTGCAAAGGCTGAGTTAGAGATGTCTGGGGGACGTTTGGTAGTGATGTCTAGCGGTGGTTGGACATACAGCTTTCATCTCAGGGAAGAGATCTGCGCTAGAGCTTGTGATCAATGGGTCGCTGGCACATGGAATGCTAAAACCACACAGGGCAGCTGAGATCACCCATGGAGGTGTGAGGATTGGTGAGAAATGAAAGCTGGGAAGGGTCTGGGATTCATCGACATGCACGGGGAGAGCACAGATGCTGGCCATTGAGGAGCCCCAGAAAGAGAAAATGGTGACACCAGCACAAAACCAGGTTAGGAAAGAGCTTCCAGAATGAAACTCAGCTTCCCCCTGCAGGAGGAATGAGCTTTAGAAAATCCAGGTGTAGAAGAGAAGCAAGGGAAGGAGGTTAAGTCAGGGAGTAGAGTTTGGTCAAGTCCCAGTAGGAGCTGGGGCAGTGTCTCTGCCCATGATTAGTCCAGCGGAGGGTTAATGACATCCACACTGTCTGCTGAGGCATATAATGATGATTAATTCAATTGGCCACCTTCAGTGCTTGGAATTATAATGAATTTTTAACTCCAATTTTTTTAAAGAAAATAAAATAGAGTTTTATTGTAAATTGTCTCTGTTTCCTGCCACGGACTCAGAGATGAACCAGGTGACTGTTCACCATTGGCAAGGTCTTGGCTCTGCTTCCGTATATGTAATTGTTTTCTTGGAAGCTCGGAGTCTATGAATCGGAAGGGGCCTTGCAAGGTAAAGCATTTGGCTCCTTATCCAGGGCAGAAATCTCTCCAACATTGTTAGAATGTGGGCCTCCGGAATCCACTTGTAAACTCTGGCTGGAGCTCACTGCGTGGTTTTGTAACCAGAATTCTTATCTGCTTCTTCCCTACGTTGACCTCTTTCTGAAAACCCACGGGGTTGACCCAGCTTTGTCTCCTGGAGTCTCATTGAACCAACCAATTCCCTTTTCCAGCTGGCCTTCCTTGTTTGAAAATGTCTCCCACTCCTGCCCCTGAAGGCTTCTCTTCTCTTAGTTCAACATCTCTGTTCTGTCACTCTTGGCTCATCGCCGTGGCCCCCACGAGGCACAGAAGGGCACAAACAAAAGGAAGGCCCTGACGCTTGCCCCGCTTTTGCAGTCTCCGTCCTAAATCAACCCAGTTCACTGGCTTCTACCTCTTGTGACTCGGCCAGCCTCTCCATTCTGACTGTTCTCCTTGCGTTCTGATCTGGGGTTCTACTGGGTAATCATTAATTTGAGTTTTGGCTTCCTCACATCCTAGCTATGTGATCTGTGCAAATTTCCTGCACTTTCTAAACCCCATTTGGAAAATGAAGATAAAAACTGCACCAAGCTCCGAGGATCGTTGTAATGTATAAATGAGATAATGCATAAAAAGTGTTTAGCATTTGGTAAACACTCACACAAAGTTAGCTGATTTCCTTAAGTCAACAAGCGCTTACTCTTGCTTATTATGCACCAGGCATGGTTTTAAATATTTTAGAAACGCTAACGCATTTAGTGTTTATAATAACCCTGCGAGGTGTAAATATCATGCCCTTTCTACAGATGAGGAAACTGAGATGAAAAATATATCATTAGGTATTGTACTAATATGTATCACTCACCCTCTCAATTATCCTTTGCTGTACCAGGAACAACCAGTGGCTTCCGCGAGGTCAACTATCTGGATTGGGCTCCAGGTGGTCTGCACTGATTCTGTTGGTCTCAGTTGGGTTTACTCATGTGTGCACGTGGAGTAAACTGGAGACTGGGGGATCTTAGCTCTGTGCCAGAAGTCTCTCATTCTCCTTCTGGAACTCACACTTCTCCTAAGTGACCCAGGTATGCAGAGGCAGAAGCCTAAGAGGGAGCCAGCTCAATTCTGCTTGCCACATTTGCAAATAGCCCGCAGGAGGCAGACTTCCAAGATGCCCCCTGCCCCCCAGGGATCTACACCTCCTGGCATTCACACCCTTGTGAAACCCCCTCCCCTGACTATGGGCAGGACTTGTGACTTGCTTCCAGCTGGTAGAATGCACCAAAGATGACGGGCTTTCCTGACTAGGTTACACGAAGACTGTGGCTTCTGTCTTGCTCTCAGATTCTCTCTATTGTCTCCTTGACTTATCCTCTTTGATAAAGTGGCCCACGTGGCGAGGAACTGAGAGCAGCCTCTGGCCAACAGTTTGCATGGAACTAAGTCCTGCCAACAAACCACGCAAGCTTGGAAGCAGAGATTTCCCCAGTTGGGCTTTGAGATGGCTACAGGCCAGCTGACGCCTTTATTGCAGTCCTGCAAGAGGGCTGGAAGCAGGGAACCCAGCTAAGCTATGCCGAGGGGTCTGACCCACCGTCACAGCGAGAAAATAAATGTGTTGTTTTAAGTTCCTAAACCTGGGGTAATTTGTTACGCAGCAAAAGATAAATAATACACATCTGTATGGTCACTGCGAGATCACATGGCCAGGCCTAGGGTGGGGAATTAAGCTCCGGGTACAGGTGGGAGAGAATTGCAATGTTACAAAATATTTTTTTTAATGCTTATTTATTTTTGAAAGAGAAAGAGAGACAGAATGAGAGTGCGGAGGGGTAGAGAGATAGGGAGACACAGAATCCAAAGCAGGCTCTAGGCTCTGAGCTGGCAGCACAGAGCCCAACGCAGGGCTCGAACTCATGAACTGTGAGATCATGACCTGAGCTGAAGTCGGATGCTTAACTGATTGAGCCACTCAGGCACCCTGGTAAAGTTAAGATAAAGGGTGGGAAGGGTGTGGGTACAGGGAGAGGTGGAGAATTGGGGTCTGCAATGCAGTTCACCACAAGCATCTACTACCTGCCAAGTGGTGTGGACACAGGAGGTGCAGAGCTGACCAAGACCTAGGCCTTGCCCTTGAGGAGTTCATGAGCTAGTGGAAGAGCCAGAGAAGGCTTTTGAAGTCTATGTAATGATTTGCTCAGTGGCATTTGATACTGACTCTGTGTGGGGCTTCCTGAAAATGTCACCACCCTTACCCAGGAATTGACAAAGGGAGTCTGAGAGCATCTCTGAGGCACTCTCTGGAGTGAAGGGAGCCCAGGTGCCTTGGAAATGTGGCTTCGGTGGCCCCAACCCTTGCCAACTCTGAGCGGAGACCTTCAGGCAATGAAAATCGTCTGTCCAATAAACAAGTCCGGGCAACCATGGAAACCAAAGCCTCATCTCATCCATCACTGATGGCAATCAAGAGAACATGAGGTGGTTTGGCTGGGAAGGAGGCATGGAGGGAAGGAGCAGATGTTAGGAGCTCGGTATTAGCAGGGAGAAAATGCAAGGTACACAGTTTACCTAGTTTGTGTTGGGCTCTATGCTAAGCACCATCTCATTTGGGCATCACAATGGCTCCATGAGGTAGGCATCATTACCCCCATTTTGAAGTTGGGAGACTGAGGACCAGGGAGTGCAAAGCCACATACCCAAGGTAAAGTTCGACCCCAGAGTCAACTGAAGTCAAGGTAATGTTCTTTCCAAAGAGTGACCTCTTAGTCAACCTTTCTCTTACCTCTTGTTCACCCAGATTCTGAGGTTTGAGAGCCCTGATTCTGGTGCATTGGATGAGCAGAGTCAGATAGTCCGAGATCCTCACAGCCTCTGTCACGACCTCCTGAATGACTCTGGCCAAAGTCACTCCTTTTGTCTAAGCCTGGTTTTTCCATCTGTAAAAGGATAGGTTTGGATTTTATTGGGGGTGTCAAATAAGTTTTGTCTTGTGGGCCATCTCCAACCTTGTGATGGTTACAGCCTGATGTGGGATGTTGATGGGGACATTGAACCTGGGCTTGGGCTTGGTGGGAAGCACTTCCGTGCTGGGTCAGCGAAGTCTACGGTGGGGACGAGTGCTTCAGAAATTCTTCCAGTAAAGAAGTGTGACTCTAGTTTTCTACATTCCCATTTATTCTTTATGGATTTTTAGCAGGCACAGCCAGTCAAGAGAGGTCCCATCTGCCTCCACTGAATATTAAACTGATGTATGGAAAGAGCGGGCAGGCTGGCTGGCCCACAAATCTGCAGGTGGACGAGACCACACAAAGACCCATATGTTAGCACTCTGCTGGCACTGTTTTACCACCCAGAGTAAAGTCCTATCTGCACTGGGGTCATCGGTGAGAACAGCGAGGGCAATGCTTAACCCCCAAAACCATCAGGTAAAGGGCCATAAACAACCCTGCGTAGGTCGTTCACTCCTGGATGCCGACCAGGGCACAGCTCTCTGCCTGGAATTCAGCCTGTGGCTAATGTGACTCCTTAGTTGCCTGGTTCAGCTTTGAGTTTCCTGCTTAGAACTTAAGCAGGGAGATGCCTGTTTTCTGGCATGGGGGGCCTCGGGACAAGGCACCCACTGACCATTGTATTCATTCTTTCTGGACCTTTGATGCCTTGGCTACAGTTGGGGAATCGTAGGCATTCTGTAGCCAGGGTGGGTGGAGGGCCTAAAGTCCAAACAGTGCTCTGACCTGGTGATGCGATGAACCATCACGGGGACCCTGTGAAATGGCCACTGAGGGCACACTCTGATCTGCTCTGTCTCTGTCTCCTGCAGCTGATCGCTCAAGCTGGTAAGAAACAGCGATGGGAGACTGAGGTGTGCCCAGCAAAGCCAGCTGCCAGACCCGGGCTTCCTGAAAGGAGAGAAAAGGCACCCGCAGAGATTACCAGAGAATCAGTCACCTGAAAGACACACTTTGATGGCTTAGAAGGGCCGATTGTATCAAAAAACACTCTCGGTGAATCAAAAATAACTTGCCTACTCTTGCCTCGTGGTGTGGGTCTGAGACCTTAAATAATTTTTATGCTTTAGAGAGGACATTATTTGGGTCATCTTCATTAATGGGCTTAGCCCCTCAGGGCTGAGGGGGGCGGCCTCTGTGGACCCTGGCGTTGCCTCTCTCTCAGGTTCTGAGCTCAGCACAAGTATGTTTTAGGCTGGAGCGTAACAGAAGCTTCCTTCCTCTCTGTGGCAAATGTTCCTTTTCCTTTCCTTTTAAAAACATTTGGCATCTGGGCACCTGGGTGGCTCAGTCGGTTAAGCATCCGACTTCAGCTCAGGTCATGATCTCATGGTTTGTGAGTTCAAGCCCTTTGTCGGGCTCTGTGCTGCCAGCTCAGAGCCTGGAGCCTGCTTCAGATTCTGTGTCTCCCTCTCTCTCTCTGACCCTCCCCTGCTCTCTCTCTCTGTCTCTCTCTCAGAAATAAATTAAAAAATTAATTAAAACAATTAAAAATATTTGACGTTAATTTTCTAAACCTTATTTCAAAGGTAACAGTGTTTATTGTAGAATATCTAGGAAGACTACATAAGTCAAGAGGAGAAGATAAATATAACCCATCACCCCGTGACCCCGGGGGACCTCTGCTCGTTTCAGCGACAGTAGCTGGGAAGAAGAGAAGACAAGACTCAGAGCACGGGCAGAAGACAGAGCAGCAGATAAGGCTCAGGGTCAACAGATCTGCACTGAGTTCTGGTTCTTTCGCCAGCTGGCTGTGTGAGCCTCAGTTTACCCATCGGCAAACTGGTAGTGATAACTTGTTTGGGCGTGAGGGCTTACAGAGATACGTATGCCAAGCGCCGCACAGTGCCGGGCATGTGGGAAACCACCCATGAATGATTGCTGCTGTTCTTCTTGTTACCGTCCTGGCACTGGGGCACTTTTTCTTGTCCAGGACGGCCTCTCGGAGGGGACAAGTTAGCCTAGAAAGTAGAAAGACTGCCCCTAGGACTAGAGACATTTTTCCTCGTTCTCCAATCAGGGTGATCTTAAGGGACTCTGGAAGAGAAAGTGATATCATGTCTCAATCTAGTCTTTAACAGGAAATATTGGGAGATGAACATCCTGGTTTTTATACAGATCACAAAACTCCTTCTTCAAAAATTTACGGCAGAACGGAAGGCTTTCTGTTTAGGTCCATGCTGCTGGGGTCGTATCTCCTTTCATTTGGACAAAAGAGCCCAGCCAGCCAACATGCCTTCACAGCCAACATGCCTTTCCAACACAGACCACCATGCCTTCTGGATCCAGTAGAGTCTTGCTTTCGTAGCTGCAAATGATCTCCCTGTGAAGTGAAGGGCTCAGGCTGGACAGAGATGGAACTTATGATGCTGTTATGGGTCCTAAAAATCATAGGGAAGAAAGACATGGAAGAAGCAGGGAATAGCTTCAGCATCAGGCTGGAAACAAAGAGAAAGCCCACATGCAGATGTCCGTCTGGTCAACTCACTGCTAATATCGAGTTGCTGGTGGTGGGTGAGAGGCAGAGCTACCCTTTTTCTTCTGCCTGCCTGGCGGCCCATTTTCCGTATTAGGATCAAGCCACTGTACCGCCCGCACAGAGCAACACCTCCTGCCCTCCGGATGGTGTTGTGTGCACACACAGTGTGTACTGATTCTTGCTCTGTCTAACTGGGCTCATTCTGCCCTGCGACCTGCTTTTCTCCTTTAACTCCGCAGCGGAACATCGCCCTGCTGCCTTTGGGTTCACGTTTCTTGCTGTTCCCCGGGGCTCTGCAGCCAAAATAATACTTTCAGTGCTGCCATAAACTTGACCTATTTCATTCCCCCTCTGGGCCCTCCCACTCTGTTTTTCTCCACTTGCCATTGTTGTTGATTTCAAAACTCAGAATCCAGCCTTGCTTGGGGAGGCTGGGTCTGAATCAGGTGCAAATTTGCAGTGAGCTTCTGGAAGGGAGGCCTCCACGTTGGGGATAGGCCTCTGCTTGCTTCCTGGGAGCAGGGCGCCCTCAGTCAAGGAAAGAATGTCAGAATCAGCTGGAAGAGACTCATCTGGCAGTGATCTTTCTGAAGCCAAGAGTTGGAAGTTCAGCTTTTAGAAGCCTCAAGAAATGTCAGAGATCCAGCTTCTACAGAAGGTATAGATTCACCATTTATGGCCGGGCTTTCTTCCCCAGTGGAGCCATCATGAGGGTGACAGTCATTGTGGCTGCTTCTCTTTGGAGGTGTCCACTTGGGTCCTTGTAAGAGAGGAAGCAGCGGGCAGAGGAAGGGATGGAAAGGCAGAAGGGAGAGATGTGAGGGACTGACAGATGGAGAGGGGGGTGTTCGAGTGTGTGGGCACGGAAATGGCTCACCCTTCTAGGCCCCTGCAGGGTCTGTTTCTTGCGCACAGCAGTAGTGGCATTACTCCCTGTGCCCCATTTTAGCATAGCGTAGGCACTCTTGGGAAAGTTCGCTGCATGAGTAAGTAGCAGATTGGGTAGCATTGCCGGGGTCCTGTCATGGGTAGCTGGAATATTCTATGAGATTCCTGGCCCGTGCTCCCCTTTTCTCCCTTCTGCTCCTGAACTGAGATTATGCAGCCCCCTGTCCTGCCATGTAGCTCAAGGTCAGAGGAAGGGCACAGGCTTTAGAATCAGGCCATCTGGGCTCAGACCCACTCTTTGTCACGCACTGTCGCTGAGCAGTAAGTTACCCTTGTATAGCCTCTGCATTTCCTCATCTGTAAAATGGGCAGAACTGGCATGAAGAGTAACTGAGATGGTGTGACAGACTGAGCAGGGCAGGTCCTTTTCAAACTGTGTCCAGGAATCATCTGGAAATCTAGTTAAAATGCAGATTCTGGTTCAGTGGGTTCAGGGTGGGGTGTGCATTCCACCTTCCTAACAAGGTCCCTGGGAGATTGCTGTGGCCGGTCCTTGCACCATCCCCTCAACAAATTCCCCCAAATGTGTTTTCTCTTCCTTCCCCCTTTGCTGCTCCTCTGGAACCTTCCCGAATGTTACCGAATGAGCCCCCACAGAAGACCCTACTGCAGCTCAACCCCACTGCCTCCAAGGCTCATTCCCTCCTCCTCAGAGCCACAACAGCGCGTTCGATCTAGGTCTGATCACAGGGGTCAGAGGAACCACAGAATCTCGAAGACATGTTTCAGAAGCTCCAGAAAACCCCCTCAAGTAGAAAACTAATTTAAATTTTCGGGAAAAGTAAGAGTGGTAGCTAATCTTTCTATCCTCTTCTGTTCCACAGGCTGCCCAGTATTTGCACACATTTAATCGTCATATCCACCTTATGAAATGGATTCTGTACTTATCCCCATTTTTCAGATGAAGAAACTGAGGCTGGCTTCTAGGACATGGCAACAGACACACACCTGGTTCCAGAGGAGGGACTTGTAGCCTTCGTACAAAACAACACACATATTCAAAGGTAGCATGTTGTGAACTTGGACGCGTTGTAGACCCCACAGGGTGCCAAAGTGCTCAGCTTCCAGTGGGGGAGGGGCTTCAGTCTCCTTGGGCTGTTTCCCTCACCTCTGCTCTTGGAAGGGGAAAAAAAACACAAAAAACCCCCACAAACTTTTGCCTGTTTCCCCCATCCACCGCTGACCTGCTATGGAGTCCTTTACTCGGTCAATATCCAAAGACCTACTGTAAACGAGTCTTCTGCGAGTAAAATGGTAGCTGAAAAGTCTCTGAAAAACTTCTCCCGAGCACGTCTGCTCGAATGGAAGCGTGTTGGTGTATATACTGCCGCAGCGCACAGGAGTTGAGAAGAAATGTATTTTAAGGTCAACGAAAATCCCAGGCGAGGCTCAGGTGTGTGTCAGGAACCTGCTTTCGTCACGGTGTACGGGTCAGGTAAGCAGTCACGTTGCAATAACACTGTGTTATTGTCCAGTTCAGAGGCTTCCTGACTATTGTCACAGAGCCGGCGGAAGGAAAAGTGTCAGCAGGGATATTCAAGCTTACTGTTTGGCCTCCACATAAAAAGAAAAAAAGAGAGAGAGAGACATTAGGGAATTCAGAAGGTGAATCCAACAGAAACCTGCTGGATGAGATTTCGCAAATGACACTATGTAACATCTCCTAATGTTACAGGATACATTTCACAGGTGTTTTCTGACAAACAAGATTTTAACTGGCTGAGAACCCTGTTTGCTGGCTGCCTCGACTAGTAGTGATAATAATAGAAGGTAACATTTACCGAGAGCTTTTAATGTGCCAGGTACTATTCTAAATACTGGATGTATATTCGCTCATTTAACCTTTACTTAAGAATCTGGCAAAGGAACGGAAACGCAGAGAGGTTAGCCAACTTGCTCAAGGGGACACAGCTGGTTAATGGTGGGTCAAAGATTTGTAACCAGGCATCTCGTCTCCAGGGTCCACACCCTTGATGCCTGTCTCTCTCGTGTTTATTTGGCAGAACCACAGACCCGGTCCTAGCCAACTCTGCCTATTTGGTGCCCGCCCCCAAACAGGAGAGAATATGTCTGGAGAAAACATGCAGCCATGCTGGCTGCTTCCCTTCGGATTCCTGAGCACGGATCGCCTGTGGGGCCTTAGGCTGCCTGGCAACCACGATGCTGGTCCATCCACCCTCCCTCTCTTCTGGGTGGCTTTTCCACACCCTCCGTCCCTCCCCCTCACCTGACCACTTACTCCCCGCTGCGGAGACGATGAAGATGATCTGAGAACTTCTGGGGGGCCCATCCCCCGACCTGCGGGCCTTCAGTCTGCTAGCTGGTTGCTTCTCAGTCTGACCTCCTCATGCTGGCAGCCCCAGGCTCAGCCCTCGGACATCTTACCTGTCCCCGCCTACCGTGTCAGTGATCCCATGCTGTTGCCCTCATACTTTAAGCACTACATGATTCCCCATGGATGGTTCCAGGTTGGACCACTTCCCAGATCTCCAGACTCATCTGTCCAACTTCACCTAGACTTCTCCCAGGCACCTTGAAGCCGACACGTCCCGAGTGAAGTCCCCATCCACAGCCACCCCAAGTC